GCTAATAGTCCAAGGTCGCACATAAAATTCCATGGCTCATTGGGGTCTTAATTAGGACCTCTCAAGTCTTCGTCTGACCTTCTTTGTCACTATCCAGTGGTGGCATTCCTAAACTGTACTTCAGTGGTGTAAGACGTAAGCAGGCCAAGACCTTTCTCTTCAGGCAGGCTTTCCCTTAATAAGAGATGGTCTGAGAGTGGTTTTGAAATGGATTGTTGTGCTCTGTTGTTTTAAATGCATTTTAGGATTGATTTTATTACACTTTTTAATGCAATGCTTGATTAATTTTTAACAAATATTTGTATACCTACTGTTTTTAGCTTTTAAACATTGTATTTTTAATGATGTAAGCTGCCTTGGGTTCTTTTTAAAGGAGAAAGGTGGGATAAAAATATTTTAAATAAATAAAATAAATAATAAAAAATGAAAGGCATTGAACCTCTGTGTGCCAGGATGCCCATAGCAAGTGGGAGGTGGAGTTAGTACTGGGGAAAGGATTGGAAGTTTGGTTGCTCCACTGGCAAATAGCTAGATGATTGTGGGTATTTTCCACTTGAAAGACAATGAGAAAAAAGATTTTGTATGGTTAAGAAAAAGTCCATAGTAGAAGGGATAATTGTAGAAGCCAGGGGAGAGAATGAGGCATTATTTAACCCCATGGTTCTCAGCTGTGTCAAAAAAAACTGAGTCTCAACATGACACTAACACAAAGGAAGCTTTTTTTGAGAACATTTATACATTTACAACCATTGTTTTATTATATTTATTTTCTGTAGTAATATTTTAGGAGATAACAGCTGCAGTAGTATTATTTAGACTAAACATAAATGAAAATAATAGTTCCATTAGTAGTTGAAAATTGCAATAATATTGTCACTATAAATTTTGCTGCTACAATAACTGTGAAATGCAATAATAAATAACGCATTCTTTGTTATGAAAATCTTGTGTCCAACCTAAATGGCTTCTGTGATATGCCACTAATGCAAGCCATCGTAGACATTTAGTCATGGGGCATGATATGTACATATGAGTGACTAGGCAGAGGGACACAGTCCGTTGCAAATTAATCTGGTGTGTGTCCCATTACAACGAATGGGATCTGTCCAAAGGCTCAACAAGGACCATTTTGCTCTTGCATTTCTCCAGTTCATTTCTGTTGAACTTATACAGGAGAGCTCTTTGGTCGATTTATGCCTGGTGATCAGATCTGGCTATCACCTTTTGGTGGACCTTCAGCCGTTTCTCCTTGTGTCACCACAGGGCTGCCTTTGGGGTGCCATGCAACAATCCAGTAGGCCTCTTCTTAAGGATTTGTTTATTCCCATGATAGTGAATAACATAATTAAGCAAAATGAATGGTATTTAATAAAGTTCAAATTCTACTGTTTCTAAAGACCCTCAGAGCATGAGATAGCTTGTGAATAGAAGAAAGAAGGTGCTACCCACCCACTGTTTCTGCCCTTTCCCCTCAGATCAGGAGCTGCCAGAACTTGAGACAGGAATTCCATGCATAGTCACTAGGCAGTAAGCCACAATGAGCGCAGTGGGACATACTTCTAAGTAATCATGAGTAGGATCAGGCTGTACAACAGCTGTTGCAAAAGGGTAGTTGAAAAACACTCAAGAGGTCGATAAAAGCATGTGAGTCACACATCAGATCACTTGCATCCACTTAGAAGAAGAAGTGGGGGAGTAGAGTAATTTTAAGTAATTTGTGACTTTTAAGTGTGATTAAATCCACCTTTTGCTTTCATATACACCTAAGGAATAGACTAAGTGAAAAATATCTATTCTTCATCACTACCTGGAATATGTGGTAATTTAGCAAAGTATGTACAGTGTTGAAGAACTGTCAGCCAAAGTCAGAAGAATGTGAAGCTTTAACCCATTTACATCACTTTAAAGAACCAGAATCATATAGTAAAAAGTATCTGATTTTAACTCACCCACCTTGTATCCTTAAAAGTTCTCTGCCCATAATCTTCATTCTTCTAACCTGATTAATTTTAACTGATTGAAGGTCTCCTGCTCCCTTAAAAAAACTCAGTCATCTCTCTATTGCTATCCCCCCTAATACTTTCATTATGCTATCTCTCCTCCTCAAAAACTCCCTTTGCCTTAGTCTTTGGTGCATGTTCATGATAATTCTTGTTGTGTACTGAACCTAAGACTAAATTAATGTTTTGGAATGCACATTCCTCTCTCTCTCATTCTCTCTTGTGAATTTTTTGTTTATCTGGACTCATTCCCAGAGTTCTCCATTTTGGGAGATCCACTTGCACAGACCCAATTGTGCTCACCTGGAAGAACGCTGTGCTGGAGGACTTTTATGGCTTCACACTCTCCCTCATGCTTGCTGGCAACTTCTTTTTCTAACAGCAAACTAGGCTGGAGTTTGGCCTATCTTGGGCCATGAAGCCTTCCAGTTCAACCTTTCTTCCAATGAGCACAATTTAGATGTGGATCTGGCAAGTGGAATTTCCAAAGCAGCACACATTTACTGTCTAATTATAGCAGTTGTTTACAGCACTTGTGCCAGGTAGGGCTCTGCAAGTGATTTACAGAAATATCAAAACAATCAACGATAGATTAAAAACAGATTCAAAACATTTTCCAAACTACATTTTAAAAAATAATCCTCAATACCAAAGGCTTTTCAAAAGAATGCAGTGTTAGCTGCCTATGGAAAGCTCAACAGAGATGGGTTGAGTCTAATTTCCTTTGGAAGAGAGCTCCATAGCTGGGGTGCTGCTGCTGGGAAAGTCCTGTCTCATGAAACCACCAACTTAGCCCCTTAAAGTGGTGGGACATACAGCAGGGCCTCTAGTTAGGTTCTGACACTTTCGGCAAATACATACTGAGGTAGGCACTCTTTAAGATAACAGTATTCTGACTCCAAGCCATTCAGAGCTTTTGATCAAAACCAGGAATACGAATTGACCTTGGGAGCATATTGGAATCCAGTACAGACTGTTGTTATATGGTCTCTCAAGCATAAATCAGAAAACAATTTTTCCTTGCATGCATTCGCCCATTTCCTCCTTTTGCCTACCTATTTCCTGCTTTGGGTCCAGCTTAATGTGAACACTCCTCAAGATACAAAAGCACATAAACTATATATCTGGATCATAGCTTTATTTAATATAACTGAGACTTGTAATCATGACAGAGCAATTAAAAGAGGGGACTTTGACTTAAAGATGCTCTCAGGTTCTATCCAATGAGATGAACTGGATTTCAGTTTCAATGGACTGCTTTCTGAACTAGTCATAGATACTACTGGTTCTGTTTATCTCTGAGTAGTACTATTGTGCAGTAATAACAATAAAGCAGCTAAGAAAAGCTATATATAATACAAGGGGAAGAAGCAAGAGTGACCAAGATCTAGGGAGAGTTCACCATAGAAGTAGCATAGCATCTTTTCCAGAGAATCCAAGGTTGGGTATGTATATCACAAAGCCACATGACATAAACAGTGAAAGTGATGGTTCTCATAGGTGTCAGATGTATATGATATATATCATGTGGAGATCTGTGAGTAGTATAGCCACACCAAAGTTTTCTCCCATGAGAATTTTAACAATTGAAATTGTCATTCAATTTGACAGAAACTAAATTTATTTGGGGGGGGGATGTCAGTCTCTCTTTGGCATACATTTTCACAGAAGTGGGTGACTGTCCATGGAAATTAATGTCAAATAAAATGTGTTAGTCTGAAAGGTGTAATAGGAGTCTTTGTTGCTTTTCATTTCAAAACAAATTCCTAGGAAGGAGAAATTTTTGAGAAAATTGTTATTGTTAAGGTTCAGGATGATCACTAATTAAGGAGGCACTGCTTGCCTTCCTTCTGATGTGCCAAGTCACACAACTCCCATATGTTAAACAGTAGGACTCTGGATGTTGTATTTACAGTGATTCATTAATCTATAATGACCCTCCAAAATGGAACATTGGAAAGGCCCTGGGGGAAGGAACTGAAACCCAAAGACTAAGAAATAATACTGAGCCAAAACTGCATAGAAGACATTCTTCCTAATATTATGAGATTTTTATTTCTGCTCTGGAAAGAGATGATAACTTAAGGAGGATCTTATCCCAAAATGTTCTACTATTTTTGGTTGCTGTCTTCTTGTCACCACCACTACCCTGCCTTAGGATGACGCAAGACAGAGAACACTGTGGAAGAAGCAAAATGGTGGCCAGGTTGCCAACACAGTTGCCTTTGTTGCTACTTGTAGCTGCAGTGCAAAAAAACAAACTCCCAAACCCCAAACATCTTTGGGGGGGGGGAGAACAAAATTCTGTTCTAACCACTGATAATATTAGCTGCAAGTTTGAGAAATCACTGGAGAATTTCTTCCCTCAGAAAATGTCATGAATTTTTTCCCTAACTTCTTTGCCCACAAATGGTGTGCAGAATTTTGCGAGACCATTTGTCTATAGCTATAGTAAATAGTAATGAAGGTGAAAGAGGAGAGTGCAAAAAACGGTCTGAAGCTCAACATCAAAAGAACTAAGATCATGGCCACTGGTCCCATCACCTCCTGGGAAATAGAAGGGGAAGATATGGAGGCAGGGACAGATTTTACTTTCTCGGGCTCCATGATCACTGCAGATGGTGACAGCAGCCACAAAATTAAAAGACACCTGCTTCTTGGGAGGAAATGGATGACAAACCTTGACAGCATCTTAAAAAGCAGAGACATCACCTTGCCAACAAAAGTCCGCATAGTCAAAGCTATGGTTTTCCCTGTAGTGATGTATGGAAGGGAGAGCTGGACCATAAAGAAAGCTGACTGCTGACGAATTGATGCTTTTGAATTGTGGTGCTGGAGGATTTTGAGAGTCCCCTGGACTGCAAGGAGAACAAAGCTATCCGTTCTGAAGGAAATCAACCCAGAGGATGAGATGGTTGGACAGTGTCATCAAATCAACCAACATGAATTTGACCCAACTCTGGGAGGCAGTGGAAGATAGGAGGACCTGGCATGCTCTGGTCCATGGGGTCATGAAGAGTCGGACACGACTAAACGATAGTAAATAGTAACATGTACGTGTGTGTGTTCAAGAGAACGAGAGAGAACTGTAGCCCCCACAAGAGGGAACACAGTTTTAGGGAAGTGACAGTTACCCTTCCCACACACGCCAGTTTTTCCACTGAAGATCACTGAGTGTTCCGTCTGTGATTGGAATCATTCATCTAATTCCTTCTGGAAGAACATTTCTTCAGTTGCAAAGCTGCTGTTTGCATGAAAGTTTGTGCAGTCCTGGAAGCCTTCACGATCCTCGCCTTTTGTGTGCGGTGGAGTGGCAGCAGGGGTAGTTCAGTTTAGACTGGCAATAAGCAGATCTATTTCCAAGTTTGGGGAGAAATTGCTCAGTTTATTCCTGGGTTAATCCATCATGCATGATGAAAATTGCTTTGAGTGCACTGCTGAAAGAAAAAGAAAAAAGGAAGGAAAGAAAAACTTTTTCTTCAGTTTATACTGTTTCTGAAATTAGACATCCATCAAACCTCAGACTTTGCTATCTTCCATTTTACCTTCATGTTAGAATAATTCAGTAAATGAAAAATACTAAAACAAACTTGCTTGAAGAGCAAGTCTTGCAGCATTTCTTTATACTTGGCTGAATTCATGCATGCCTGTTCATCTTTTATGAGTGCAGCATCTGGAGATGACTTGGATGCATGAGTGAGCCACCTCATCCCAGATATATTATTACATATTGAGATTCAGTATTTCCTAATACCACCTCGCATGGTGCTTTTTAGTAGATTCGGACCACACATTCAGCTGCCACTATGAAGTATGTAGCTCTCCTGTTTTTAAGATACAATTCCTATAATCTTTGACTATTAGCTATGCTAACTGCAGTTCATGGGAGTTGGGTGGGTGTACTGATTACTAAATCCTGAAATACAGAATAATCAAGCACAGAGGAATTGGGTGCAATATATATACACAGAGAATTAGACCTTGATTACTTGTTTTTCACATGACTTTGTACTAGTTTGCACTGCAGTTTAAGCAAAAAATCCTTATCTCAAAGAGTTTATAGTATACATTTAGCTAATGAGAAGCTAATGAGAAGAGGAAGGCAACAAAGGGAGACACAAAATTTACCTGAGATGAACAGGTCAACAACAGAGTTTATATTATGTGAGAGAGCATTTGTGAGAAAACATGGAGAAATATCTGTGAATGATAACTGAATTGCAATTCATAGTCAAAGAATAAAATTACTCTTATCAGTGTAATTAATTTCAAGGAAACAAATACATAGTCACAGTACCATATAGTATTAAAATTCTCATTTGCTCCTTCTAACAAATTTCCCAGTTTCTTACCTGCTCTCTACTTCTGCACTGTTTGCTATTACAAAATGTTCTCATGCATTCATCACATTCATTACTAGCCATGATTGCTAAGTGGAATCGTACAGATATGCCATACTGTATATCTCAATGCTAGAGGAAGAGGGTAAATGACAGGCACAGGGTGCAACTTCACTGACCTACTTGGTAAATATCTGGTTGGGCCATGTTAGAAAAAGAATCCTGGTTTGAGTGGACCTCATCTTAATATTAGGAAGGCAAGTACTGATGTTCTCAGTGAGCACATGTGTGTGTTACATGTATAGACACAGAGAAACATACTGAACATGAAAGGGAATATATTTTCTCTTTCCACATTTTTATTCCCAGAAGACAGAGTTATATAATAGCTTTCTTGAAATTTTGGATTACCCGGGCCTTCTCGCTCCCACTCCTTTCCTCTGGTGCAGGGGGAGGGGGGCTTTCTGGCTCTTAATTAATCATACACTGCTTCACCATTTACATATGGAAATGGAAGGCCGTCCGCAATTATTAATGAGCCTCCAGGCAGTCCTGTGGCGTTTCCAGGCGAGGCTATGTTGGTCCTGCAGAAAAAGCAGCGTCGGGGCCACGGCATCTCCCTTTCTCCGTGTGTGTGTGTGTGTGTGAGAGAGAGAGAGAGAGAGAGAGAGAGAGAGAGTGAGAGAGAGAGAGAGAGAGAGAGATCCAGTGGTGTACACTTTCATGTGCACGCAAACACCCAAGATCCTCCTGTGTTCATGGCTGAAGGGACTATCTAAATAAATACAGGGTTTTTGTTTGATGCTCTAACCAGGCTTATGCCTATTCTGACTAGACCATTTCCCCCAACGTCTGTGTTTTATAAAGGAGAGAATAGCGTTTCTGTCGTCATTGTCTTGATTATTGGTCAAAGCCGGCTTGCCTGATCGTGATGACGCCAACGGCACTGCAATTAAGAGAACATACACACACACAAACATGCACAATTAAAAAAAAGTGTGCGAATGGATTGGGAACTTTGAGAAGATGCCTCCTCCAGCTCCGCGCCGAAGGATCCGTGCTTGTGGGCACAGGAGGAGTGTGTGTGTGTGTGTGTGTGTGTGTCTGTGCTCGCTCGCTCCTGTGCCCTTGACTGACACCAGCCTTGCGACAGAAGGCTTGGCAGCTCGCCAGATTCTCACTCGGCGATAAGAGAAGACCGTGGAGGAGGTGGAGGGGGGCATGCTGACAACATGGCCGTTGTTTAGTCTATGCTCGGAGACCTTAATAGCAAGCAGCAATTCGCCAGTGTCGGAACGTATCTGGTGCAATGGGATAATTAAGATGATTGCTCACAGGTTAAAACGACCGGTGTGTGGGGTTGGGTGAGGACTGAGGGGTAATGCTATACCCCGTTTCTTCCTTCCTTCCCTCATTCTGACATGTGAAGGGCTCGTCAAAGGTGTTTGGAAGTAGAGATGTGGGTTCTTCCTCCCCCGCCTCGAGTTCTTGCTATGTGTCTTTAAGCAAAGAGCCCATTGAAAAAGAATGAATAGCCAAGTCGTGTCTGGAAAATCATTTTCAAGACGCTTGGAAATGGAAAGGATGGGAAAATTGGGGAGGGGAAGGGAGGGGAAGGGGTGGCTGGCATAAGAGTAACAAAGAGAGAGGTGTGGTGGGGTGCTGCGTGCATGAGCAGAGTACTTCAGCTCTTTTAAGCCTCCAGCCTCCGAAAGAAAAGAGGTGGAAAAATACAGTCGTTTAAAAACCGACGCTTTCTCTCTCTCTCGCTCTCTCCACACGCACACACCCCGGGGCAGCTGCAGGATTTGAAAACTGCCTGGTTCCTTCTGCCAGTGCCAGCCTATTAATTTCGCAATGGAGAAGGAAGCTTCCTCTCGCTGGGTTGGACGAGCCTCGTTGCCGTTTCTTTCCATCCAAGACTCTTCCCGCCCCCCCTCGACCCGACCCGGGATGCTTCCCGAAGTCCGCAGCCTTACTGTGCGAAACCAAAAAGCATCTTTGCAAACCCATCGTTTTGTGAGCATTGCCACATTAGATTAAAGTGGAACTCTGATGTCATTTCAAGGTGAAAGGGAGCTGGAAGGCAGACAATGCTGCAAGTTACAGTGAGGGAAAGGGGCTGGAAGGCTGAGGCGAGGAGGAACGGTCGCGGGGCGGGGGAGGGAGCCGGGAAACGCCAAGCAAATTGTGTTTACTTTTGAATGCATGGACCGGTGCCAGGTTAGAGGTTTGTGTGTTTTTTTTTTTAAGGCTTGCAGAGGTTGGAGGAAGGGCCAGACTGAGGCGGAGCTAAATGCTGTCAAAGAAAACGGGTGTGTGCGTTGGGGTGGGGGAGAAAAGCAGCATATTTGCATGTTTGTCGGTGTGTGTGTGGGGGGGGTAATGCTTGTTCTAGTACAATCGGTACAGTATTCCAGGGAGCTATAGTATATCCGTTTTTGTTCTGATCTCAGGGGGGAAAAAAAACACATACTGAATATCCTGATATTGAGATCAATTCGAACAACTGTGAGACTTAATAAATATCACAGCATCTTCTTACCTTTGTAAGACATTTGCCCCCTCATGCTCATTTATCAGCATGGGATCTCCTTTTTCCCATACTCAGCATTTGTGAACCTTTGTTTTATCCTGTCTCCCAAATCCCTATTCAAAACAAGACAGATAATCTGAATTTGTGAAAGAAATGGTTTAGGGAATGCCCACATAGCCTCTACCAAAGATGTTTACTCTGAAGGAAGCCACATTTATTTTAGTGGGGTTTACTTCCAAATGCATTTGCAAAAGAGGTCAGCATTTTCATGGAAGTACATATTGTCTTACATATTTTTGTCAGGAAGAACATTCTTTGTAGATAAGAAATAGATTTAATGGATTTTTACCAGATAATGTACTTCAAGTGTCTCAATAATGACTGACTACATTAGCAACAGTGCCTCATAGTATGATCCAAAATTAACTCACTGGTGACTTGCAGTGCATATGTGTAAGTCTACTGGGTTGTGTAGAGCTTCTTGCCTTGTAAATGTTTTAGGATTACAGGTTTAATTTATTTTCTCTTGTTATTTCATGTACGTTGAGGAAATGGACTTGCCCACAAAAGTTCACATTAAAATATAGCAATCTTCAAAGTGCAACAACATTTTTGTCTTCCTTACTTTTTATTTTTCTTTTGTTTTGATGAAGTATACTGTATATAAGAGGTCATCATGAATTAAGAAGATACACTTATGTCAAAATGAGTATTATTTAATCCTTCTGAACAATTCATGTACATTGGATGTCATTTTGTAAATGGGAAGAAAATGATGTTAATTCATTTGGCAGGCTTAATTTGGTAAGAACATCTAAAATGTTTTTTATAAATGATTTGCCATAATGACTGATATGCTTTTTTTTTTTACTGTTTTGCTATAAATGGAATATCTGCAATTTTGCAAGCTACCTGGGTATACAATTGGAAGAGTATATATGCCACCCAGAGTGGCCTGGTTGCCAGATGGTGCAGGGTATAAATCCAACAAACAAACAAACAAGAATAATGTTGGTTTTCTTTTGCTTTAAGTTCCACCCATTTCAGTCATGACGTACTTGTGCTGCGTGACTTAAAACCATCTGCACTACTTTCCAAAATATGTTTCCTATGTTTCTCCATGCCCTTTGGTGGAAACACTGGACCAACGGTGTGCTGGAAGTATCTTCCTTTTTCCTTACATTTGGTATAAAGACTGTGTGAAAATGTGCAGTTTGCTTACTTCACAAGATGTGAGGGCCAGTTCCTTGAAGTAATCTGTTAGAGAACAGAACACAGGAATGACTGGAATTCTATAAAAGCTCTGATGGCTTAGACCAGAAAATATAGATTCCCACCATTACACACTGCTTCCCCCCCCCCAAGCTCTTGGCAACTTCTGGTCTATTTAAATTCTTTTTCTCTCATTGACTGTCTCAAGGGTAAAAATCTCATAGTGAAAGGGGAAAATATTTCCTTATTAATAAAATTTTGGTTGGGTAGGCGGAGGCAATGTACGCAAAATTAATACAATATTGGTAAAGCGTAGGATTTCAGGCTCTTTATTATGTGTAGCTGACTTACAAAGTAACTAAGTGTTGGGAACTGTTAATCAGGAACTAAGCTGATCATAAGTTAGCCTTGACAGCTATATAAGTTTTGCTGTTTTCCTAGGTAACCTCAATTAACTTACTTCCTGTATTTCTGTTAGGACAGTCTCTCTAGACTGAGTTAGAATAACACTTGTAATCTGCAGGTGTTTCAATCCTTGTGCAATTTCAAAATCAGAGACCAAATATTATTAGACGAAGGGGACCTAAAGATGCAAATTATAGCCTGCAAAGATCTATTCAAGGCAAAGGCCTTTATGTGAAATTCTTTTTATTGTCTCCATGCAAGACAACCCCACCCTCTGGATAAATATGCTTCTTTGAAGTCTTATTATCAGTATACTCTCACAAATGTATGCTACTTGGTGAATGGTAGAAGCGTATGCAATGTATTAGGCATATGATTCAGTCGACAGCAGTCAGTGGCACTTCTGCAGAGGCATCACTGTAAGAAGCAGCTGTGCCCCATTTCCTCCCTTCCTTTGTTATGAAGAAATTGAGGTTTTGCACTTTCTTATTTAGAGCATCTTTAGCCAAGGAACAGGATCTTAGAGCTTTGTTTGCGGTGGAGTTTATGATACTAGTCTAGGCTATCAAAGAGTTTTGTTATACAGTACATTTTTGTCTTTTCTGGTCTTGTCTTTTTTAGTGTTTTGTTGAAACCAGAAAGTTTAATAAATAATTTGGAGTGAATGATTACTTATTGCATGTCTAGGACATTATAAAATCTAAATATGCTGAGATTTTTAAACATCATTTATACTTCAAGATGATAAATGGCAAGCAGATAAATGAACAGATACGTGATTGCTGTTTTCTGTAAGGGAGTTGTTTTTGAAATACTGTAGTCAGAAATAAGGTCTCTGATTCTGCAATCCCTTTCAGTATTTAAGTGAATAGATAAATGAATTGATTTTCCCCTTTAAAGAGCAATATTTGAGGAAGTGCTAGTTTTCTGTACTACTGGATTTCCCTCCCCCCAAACTGAAGAAACTGAATGAGAGATAAAAAGGATATTAACATAGTGAGTCTAAATTCCTATAACGTTAATGTCAATGCACTCAGAATCCAAACTTCCATTGTACATTGGAACAATACTCATAATATTTTTATTTTTCATCAAAGGTTGATCTTTATGATTTTTTTTCAAATGAAAAAGTAGATTTGGTATGAACGCTTTTTCCCATGGTAAGTAAGTCATTAGTTAACACATGAATAATAATCAATGAATATAAGCATCATAATATAACTAATTTTTAAAGTATGAAAATACAATTGTAAAAACATAAGAACTGTGGCTTTCCTTTGTTATGCTAAATAACAATATTAGTAACATTTCATTTTTTAAAAAAGTTTAATTGTGAAATTTAATTGTGGTTTGCTACTGAAATATTATTTTGCTAAAATAATCTGAATTATTAATTGTACCAAATTAACATACAGTATAATAGCAACAGTTTTCATCAATATTACATTTCATTAGATAGTACTTTTCTGAAAATGTGTGAGATATATAATGAGGCTGCAAAATATAAATTATAAAATACTGTAAATTGTTTTACCATGTTAGAGGTTTAAATGAGAATTAGAACATGCATTGTTTCATACTGTGAAGCCAGGCTGATTGAGAAAGAGAAGCATGCTGACCATTTGACAGAGATACAGCAGAGCCCATCTGCCTCTTAACTTTATTCAGTGTGTACAGAATTTTGCCCTACACATTTATTTACAAGTGTTGCACTTTTGTTATCCTGTACTAGTGGATACAAAGTCAATCCTATCAATATTTTTAAGGCACTGTTTGGGTTTTAAATAAAATGTAGGATTTAACTTGAATACCCAACGTGGTGTAGTGGATAGAGACTAGGACTCAGGAGATCTGGATTTGGATCCCTGCTCAAATACCCTGTCTGCCATGAAACGTACTGGTGGTTACGGGACCCTGGAACTGATAAAAGCAATCTGTAAATATCCTTAAATGCTCTGACAGTCCTGTTAAGATCACTATAAGTTGGTTGTGACTTGAGGGCACATAACACAAAGCAGGATTTAATCTGTGGAGTTGATTATAAAATGCAAGCAAAATAATGTGCTGTCTGGTGACAGGCTGTGTTTAAAGTGCTCACTGAAGAACAATGACTTGTAATTGGTATGAAGAAGAACTGGTTGAATAAACCATGATTCAAGTTTTTAAAAGGTGCATCTTCCTTTGAAAACTCAAATAAAATACAGTATTAAGTTGCCTTATTGAGAACTGTGATGATTACAGAACATGCTCCAGAAAGTTTCCCTGAAGATGGGTGAGGTTTGGGATGTTTTGTTTAGATTAGCTTGGCCAATTCTGTTCAAGGTAGTAGGATGCAGTGGAAATACACCATTAAACCCTACCTGGTGAGTTATTTAGCAACAGATATGAATGGCCAATTATTTAAAATGACCTATCTGGACTGACCGGCCAGTAAAATCACTTTACTTCCTCCAAATAAAGTAGGACCAAACATAATGTGAAAATAAATCCCATTCAGATCAGTGGGATTTATTTTCAACTGAACCATGGCTAGAAGCCATTTGAAATTAAAATATCCTGTAATGCATATTAACTGGCTGGAAGTCAAAACATCTACTGTACATTATATCCATCTTTATTACAGAAGTTTAGCTATTAATTTGCAGAGAATGCCTTGATATAATGCCAGTCATCCTGATTTACATTTCTAATATTCCCTAGTTATGACAATAGCAATAAAACAGGAGAAACAGACATTACAGGTAGCCCATGATTAAAACTGAAAGAATGTTTAGGCTGCAGCCCTAACTAGACAAGATGGCTGAAGGCTGTTAAGGAGGCGACACTATGTTGAATCCAAACCCTCCACAGGCCAAGGATGTTGGAAATTTCTTAGGACTACATTGACCTTGCCTAATTTTCTGCCATCACAATGGCTGCGGGTCTTGGCTGAGAAGAATCTGGTATACCTCATTTCCTCTTTCTCTGCGTTCCCCCCCCCTTTTTTTTCTTTCTTTTTCTTTTCTTTTTCTTTTCTTCTTCTTCTTCTTCTTCTTTTTGGATCTATTGGCAGCTAATGTCACCTAGCACAGCAGTTGTCCAAAGAAATCTGAGACCAGCTAGCATAAGGGGATTGTGCCAGCAGATGAGCTGTTGTGCTGGCACAAGAGGATTCTGCCCATTCCAAACCCAAGGCACATCTCTGGATTTGGATTGCCCTGCCCTTATTAGAACCAGGCAGTCTCAAAATCCTGATGTTAAGCCCTGAAGACAGATCACCAAGAAAGCAAACCAATTTGCTGTGCACTTGGTTATTTTCAACAGTTAAAGAACTCTCTTTCTTAATCAGAGCCTATCTGTAATGTCTGTTTCTGCCCTAAATTAGATTCAGCAGTCAAACTGAGAACTTAAATTTTTCACAAGGTTACAATTATTGAGCTTTCCCAGGTGATCACTATCAAATCTGAATTAATATACTGTTCAGTTTACATTCATTTGGTGGAGGGGAGTTAGCTTT